AATGACTCTTTTGATGCTCATTTTGAGGGACAAACACAAAGATATGTTGGGGAACGCCGCTCATAAGACCCTCCGCTTGAAAGCTCAAGCCGTCCCCCCATAGGGGCCCTGATTCTCAGAATGCCCCCAAGCCCCCCCCCCCCTCCTCCACCCTGCGTCACCACTGAGGCCTCGAGCCCCCCCCCCCCAAATAAATATGGGGGGGTACCAGGTACAAAATGACGGTACCCTAAGTACAGAGCAGTAACGATTAACGCACCAGATTTTGACACGTCGGCTTGGTCTACTACAATCAGCCAAGGCCGTGGATTGACCATCCGGGCTGGCATCGGACGGCCGCTTTTCGACTACTCGGGATTCGGTTTTCTGAAGCACTCCCACGCAGCCTGTACTGTGTACAGCATGTGACTGTGACGGACTCTGATCGAGTGGCCGCCTTCAAGCCCTCAAGGGCTTGCATGAGAATCGTCAGAAGACACGCTGCAAATCTGTCCCTGCGCCCACATCGCATAGCAACAGGAAGCAAAGAAACCCTTAGAGTTGCGCTGCTCAAAACGCTGCCGCGGATTGGCGCTTTCGTGGAGTGCATTGAGCTGGTTCAGCTGTAGTTAGAATCATTCAGATCTGCACTACCCTACAAGAGCCAGCATGGCGCCTGAAGCAGCGACGCCGACAAAGCTCCCAGAGCTGAAGTTCAGCATTGCGCCGGACCGATTAATAGAACTGACAAAGAACGTGCTTGCGAAAAACCAGGTGGGTGTGGACTGCTGATTGGCCAGCCCTTCAAATACATGATCTTGTCCCTAATATGACAGATTTCTGGGGCTGCAGTTTACAAGAAGTATCTGGCACGATTGCAGGTGGTGCAGTGTGGCCAATGCCTTGTGATATTGACCCTCCAGGGAGCCCTTTAGATGGAGCAGAAGTAGCTCTCGTTGAAATGCTTCTGGGAATTCTGACTTACGTACCTATGTTAAGCCCCTGCATGGTGCACCAACTCTGGCAGCTGGCGCCATCTTGTGGAAAGTTTACCTGATGTCAAACAGCAACATGAAGACACACAAGTCCCGAACACTGTTGTGATTGCAAGTTTTATGGCACAGATGGTGTAAGAGATGCTACTTTGAGTGACATCACTGGCGCATCACCAAACAAGTAACATGAGTCAGCTGACACACAGACCTTGACCCGCATGCACCGCTGTCCGCTCTGCATCTTCTTTTTATACGCTCAGTCTTTGACCGCTAGCATAGACGATCACCCCGTCGTTGTAGATACAGAAAGGGTGACGCACCATAATGTTTATGATCTTTTCCGCCGGCTCTCTGTGCTGTCAAGGGGGTGACTTTTTCTGACATGAGACAAGCTGGCGAAGCTGATCAGGGCCTAAAATCACAAAGGCCGTGTTTGTGAATTTCTTTTTGAACATATCAAAGAAAGCCTTGATGTTCTGGAAGCAACTAGAAGCGATGTCGACTTCACTTTGCAGGGCGTGGATGATCCTTTGCTTCTAGCGGATGACTTCAAATTCGCTGCGCCTATCATCTATCTTGGCAAGAAGGAGTTCCTCAAAGCGTTCGCATCTTTCCAGCTGAAAGTTGCATTCCCAGGTAAGGGGTCAAAGGGGTCATGCTACTTGCCTCTAACCATTGCACTTCCCGCCTGCCAGAGGACTTCGGACATGTAAGTTGAGTTGCGTTTATACGAATTGATTGCGGTATAAAGGCCCTCTTTTCCAGTCTGGTCTTGCAGCCGCTTGCTGAGTAAACTGACTTGCAAGGACTGGCACATTGCCGACAAGCAATGATTTCCAAAGGTCTTTACACTAGAAGAGGACAATCCACGGAAGCCTGTTATTCGAACCGCACTACAGACGAATCCTCTTGGCTCGACTTTTTGAAGTCTGGCAACGCGCATGGCTTCTAAAGCTGTCTCTAAACAGTGGCTTTCCGTTTTGCACTCTTTCGCAAGTCCTCGCAGAAGTGTGTCGCTGATTGTCTTGGACTCTGCTTGCAGATGTTGAGGCGAACTTCTACAACTTCTTCGTTGACCCCTATGAACCAAACCGGGTATGGTTTTTCACACGGACCCGCGCTACCCACACAGGCCCTCTCAAGTTCGGGGCACGCACGATTAAGCCCACTTACAAGGTGAGCAGATTGACTCCGAAATGCCTCTTTAGACCCCAATTCGTCCTTTTTGTAAGTTTTGAGTCAATTCTTCAAGAGTCTCTGCGACCGGCTCCCGCTTTTTACAAAGCGCTCTTCATTTTTGTGAGGTTCATTCGATCATCAAGACTCTTTCCGACCCTTTCTTTCCTGAAATGTAAAAGTGGTCGGGAATCCGTTTCTGGACGTTGACGTCCAGATGTTCACGTTGTATCAAGCGAGGACTTTGTTCGAGGGCGACAGACACCTTGAGGTGGCGCCCGTTGTTGAAGGTTTTTGACCAACTCTATGAGACGATTGCCCTTACTTGTTATCTGTTAGACTTACTGAAGTTTTTGACTCGGTATAAGGCACGATGAGGGCGAAGCGCTCAAGCTTCCCAAAGTTCGGGATCTCTTACCGTTTACAAGCAGCACACGACTATCCACTGTCAGTTGTCGCTTGCAATTCTAACCGAGGTTGTCCGGAACGACCTTGCAGCACAGTCTTCTCAAAATTTTCGCCCTGAGGGATCTTGCGCCGTTCCATGATCCACCAGAAAGCTGCAAAACGGCTTTTCCAAAGACGTTCTTGTGTTCCACTTAAGTGACCCCTCTCTCGTTAGCCTGCATTTGGAGCATTCGGAGCTCCTTCTTCGAACGATCCGTCTTTTCTTCTTGTCTTCCCTGCTTCTCCTTCTTAATGAGGATTGTACGTTTCCTTACAGCGTGTTGAAGCGGCCCCCGAAGTGTCGTCGATGACCTTCAACGAAGAGGGCAAGGTGACGAAGCTGACCGTGGGCTATGTGGCAGACCGAAGGTGAGCGCGGCTGACTTCATCTCAAGTCGTCGAATATCGGAACAGATACTCTTTTAAACTGGGTATGGTCATGAGCGCTTCTTTTGGTGCGAGCTAAAAGACGAAAAGGGCATGGCGACCACATTTCTGGGTTTCCTTTGCAAGCCTCCCCAGCAAGCAGGGTCGAGTTGCTCCGCAGAGGCACAACCCGATCATGTATATATTCTCGGACAGAGTTATTAGCAGATTCGACAGCACGTCAGAAGCTTTCGAAAGTAAGCATGTCTAGCGAGTTGAATCCCACGCTGCTAGACCATCCTCGATCCTGTTGTTGGTTGATTAGTCACGGTGTGTGCAAAGTGAAGGCTCAACACAAGCCAATCCTGATGACGGGCAGCTTGCAGAAGGGTCTGGCGTTTAGAACCAGCGATCCATCCATTCATAGCTTGGTTTCATTCTTCTCTCGTACTGTGCAGAGTCGGTAACACTGGGGGCCTTGGAGCACTTTTTGGCATTCTGTAAGTTCGTCTTCCGTTCTCCTTTATGTTACTTTTCGGATAATTCGCGGTCTGTCTGCTGTGCCATCATTGTCTTGGTAGGTTTACTTGATCAGTCGTCTCTCATTTAGTGATCTGCCTCGCATTGCATTTGCACGAAGCTTGACCTTACAGTCCACGATGAAGGGCCCATATATGTTCCACCTAACGAACTCACTCCTGGAACTCTCTGGGTTCGAGTGCGTTGCAGCGAAAGCAAACGCATATTGAAACAAACAAGACGTTACGGAGCCAGTATAGCAGAAGACTAGATTGACGCCTTGCTTTCACTAAACGGCGACTGACTTATTTGCCGGCGAAGCAAGAGGCGGTGCCGATGCTGACGTCGTTTGTGTTTGCAGGTACGCGGTTGGGCACCCGTTGCCGTTCCCGGAGGCACGCCCCTATAAAGCAAGCTGGACATATTGGGTGAGCTTACGCAGCTTCTCAGCCTTTGCGAGATCTGCTGTCAAACTGCAGCCACAATGTTTGTTCTAGCTGTCTGGATATGCACTCTCGCGTCTAGCTTTTAGGGGCTTGTCGCCCTTTGCTTTGGAGTCAGCTTCCTGATTGGGATTTTGTTTCGAATTTGCCAGCCGGGCAAAAGCCCACTCTTTTGAGTCTCTTCTAGAATGCGAGAGATCGTAGCTAAAGAGGTGTCTCCAACCGTAACAAAATCTAACATAGTTCAGGAAAAGAGTCATTGATAGGGCGGGGCCTAAGAAAAGGTGCAAGTCGACTCGCGGAGAGCGCCGTTATCTAGCAGCAGAAAGGCTTATGATAAGTCCGTGGTGATGTCACTTGTCTTCGTACTAACCTCTCGAGAAATAGCGAACGTGCCTAAGTTTGGAGCTTTCTACTGAACTGCGGAAAAAGGTTTTCTGGCTTTTGAAGGTAAAAACCCAGTGCATATTTGGAAGACCATAATCTGCTTTGATGAACACCTGAATCGTCTGGAGTGAATATCTTTGCCGTCTTGAAGCTCCTAAGAGCGTTCATACTTTTCATGTGCAGACCTTCATTACAGTACAACGGGTTTACGGGATAGCAACAAGCTGGGCTCAATACGGCTACAGTCTGGTTTTCGGTGGGAGCAGTGCGCAGGCAAAAGCCGATTGAGAAAGAGACAAGATGATACAAGAAAATAGAGCGCATATGCTTACAGACATATATAGAGTTGACACTCAAGCTTTTTGTACAGTAGGGGTACCGTCTGGGCACTTGGCGTAGCATGCCCGCAACTGAATTTTTGGATGTACTGGAAAAACATCAAACTTGTGCTTTCCGTTTGCATCGTATCGTTGGAAGTGGAATGACCTTGATGGTTTAGCTGGTGAGGTTGGAAGTGAGCACGAGGTTTGATATGTTGAAGTATGCTCGGCCAGAATCATCTCAAATATCGTGACACACTAAACATGTACTTAGCTGCACTCTCGCGTCGGCGCATGTTGAGAAGTACCCAATCTGGACTTGATATTTTAGCAAGTCGAGCTGCAGACTCGTGCAGTGTCTCAAAAGACCACAAGGGGCAGGAAACGTCGTTCATCTTCTTGTTGTTTCGAAGGTTGACGCTTCAAATCATGCAAACGTCTTGTAGAGATTAGTTCACAAATAAGTGAGATCTCAATTCTGCACATCATTGAATTGCACAGGTTGGTTCGCTCGTCCAGCAGATGAACTTGGCCATGCTTCGATCGGAAGCGTTCTTTCGTTTATTTTGCAGTCAATTACGTAGGCCGAGTTGTCGACCTCGCCTAGACACACGCAGTTTACAATGGTCCTTTCTTCTTCGCGCTTTGACGCCTCGCCAATTTCTCTCCCTATGGATTACTGCAGCCATAGGTGGAAAAGTTGCTGACACAGTCGAGGCCTGTGCTACTCGTTTCCCTGGGGCCTTGAGCTCGTCAATCTATACTAGACACCGGGTTGAAGCGTCCTACTAAAGCGCATAAATTTATCTACTTGCACAATTGTATGCTTGTCCAATCATGCGATACCAGCTTCCAGTCGTGAAAGTCAGGTAATGTTTTGTCCCTTCGTGCTGTTCAAAGGAAGGACAATTTGGACCATGAGCGCGATCTAGTCAGTGTCTTTAAGTCAGTTGAACAACTTGAGCACAAAGCAGTGACTTTGTGCAAGCATCGACCGGCATCAGTGCGTTGAACCTAGATGTTCAAGTTGATTCGCGTATTGAGCCTGTCCCAACAGATTGGTAGTATACCAACCTCTCTTCTCGTTGTTCACCACAGAAGATCTTCGAAAGGATGAAAAGGAATCAGTCGCGTCATCACAGTTGGCATCAGCCGTTCCGGCACCCGAAATCATTGAATGGTGCGCTTCTTGCATCGACCTTGTACATACTAGAAGGTTCTTGTGCCAGTCTCTAGTCACCTGATAATATCTAGAGCTGGACCAAAGGAGAGAATCTACGCGCCTCTGCTCCTGGCGGCAGCCCGACGGTGTGACCGGGCCCCAGCCTGAGCTATAGCTGCTTGGCCCGGGGCGCGCCGCTCGCTCGCGCTGGATCCGCGGGCGGCTGGGCCGCCGCGGCCGCGTGTTGATTGGAACCGGGTTCCGGCACGCGCCTGCTACAGCTTGCCCGTCTGCCACGTAGCCGAAGTGACACTTGGCCTGCTTTCGTCGTTCACAACCAGAATGCCGCTCACACCTGGCAGGACACAGCCCTCGGGATCCCTCTAGGCTGACATTCATCTGACGTCATGACACCTTTTGGAGAGAAGAAGCAAGCCACAAAATCAAAGCTCAGGCTTGCCTCCAAGCGCCAGGGCGGTCCAGAGCTGCCAGCTGTGCGTGTCTTTATGGGCTTCGGGAGAGGGGCCCAGAAGCTTGCACTGGCCTTTGCTTCATAACATCGCTGAGAGACTTCCTTTGAATCAGCTGCATTCTGGAGCCTTAGTTCTCCTCTGGATGCAGTACGCGAGCTATAGGACAGACACGGCAGGAGAGCAATGCAACAAGCGATCTATAACGCGCTTACGCACCTAGGCTGGCCAGAGGTCTCTGCGTTTGAGACAGTTGATTGAATGCGTCTGAGTTGAGGCAGGTAGTCCGAGCGGGGAGTTACTTCTTGTTAAAAGAGGGTTGCAAAGCATGCGGATTGACCGCAGCGCAAGATTGATCAACACATGGTAGCACTACAGAGCGGTCGAGATCTGCCGTAACGCGCATTGCAGGGACTACTTTAGCTACCGGGTTGTCAGAAGCGGAACGACTGCACTGTTGCCAAACCAGCTAGGATCAGTTTTTTGGTAACATGCTACGCTCATAACGCCTGATCTCAACATTTGACAGCGCTGCCAGCTAGAAATCTGAGTCTCTTACTGAGTCCATTGTGAACATGGCGGCCACGCAGGCCACTCCCCCTGCAACTGTCATTGACATGCAAAGAGAACCATCAGCCGTAAGCACCGGCCCAACCACCGCCACCCCAGCCGCTTATACAGCACCCCGGGCCTCTTATGACGCGCCCGCCAGCTCTTATGTGACACCTGTCGCGCCCAGCTTGGCGCCAGTGCACGAGGGCTGCTTCGGCGGTTGCGGCCCCGAGTGGAAAAAGCAGTGGTCTTGGAAAGCGTTCAGACTGTCAAACGAGCCAAAGTCACTCTTTGTCGAGCCCCGACAATACTTCTGGCTGTGCGGGTTTAACATGCATCCCTGGCAGCAGTGGACGTTCTTGTTCTACCGCTTCTGTCTGCTCTTCTACTGGGGGGGCTGGATCATCGCGGATGCAACAAGTGGGAGCGGGCCCAAGTGGTTCGTGTACCTGACGCACTGGAACGTCCTGCTGGTAAGCTATTGAGCAGGGGAGCGCTTATGTACTCGGTATTGCCTGCAGCAGGAAATGAATCATCCATTTGAATGGACGCTGGGCGCCGGCGGCGCTGCCATTGAAAAAGGTGGCAGCTTGAACTCTTCTTACCGTTGCATGCAATGTGCTTCCTGTTGATTACTTGGTGTCCGGTGGTAGTAGGGAACCCCAAGCTTTCCAGAAGGCTCCTTCTCTAGTTGTTGCTGGGCTGTTTGTCCTCGCCATGGGTTTGTAACGGATTGCGGTGGTAAAGAGAAAGATTGCCAGGGTACATCTGCCGGTAAGATTTCTGACTTACCGACCCGGCTGGAATATACACGTTGAAATTACAGCGCCCCAGTGTAATGTACCCTCAAAGTTGCATCCTCTTCCTCCTTTTACTCCGCTGAGCTGGTCAATTTCTGTATGAAGACACTGGAAATGCACCCGAGCACTAATCCTTTTGCAGCATTGATACCTCAGCTTGGCCACTGCTGCAACAAATCAGGATCTATCATCGGGCCCTCAACTAATCATTGTGGCATGGGGCTGGGCAACCTCCACAGAAAAGCTATAGCACTAGCGCCTCACTTTAGTCAACAACACCACCATAACCACCACTAACAGCTTATTCTGACCGGCGTCGTTTTTTCACTTCTGCAGTGCAGCATCTACTTCCTGGTTGTCTTTGTCATGACCCTCCAATACACTCTTCTCCACTGGCGCGGCGACCAAAAAGGCGCCGACAGCTACACCGAGGAGATGCGCAAAGCGGATGCCTTTCGCGCTCGGCGAGGAGTGGAGGCGCCCCCATCAACGAGCGGCCTCGCGCGAGCGGCGCTCCGTTTCCACACGCACGATTACCACTTCAACTGGGCATATAAGCTGACGTGGCTGCTCCATAACCTATGCGCCGACGCCTCCCTCTTGGTATGCCAACTGCCATGCCTCAAAGGCCTCTTTTCTGTTCTCTTCTGTGCTTTCCTTTTGCCAATGTGCTTCTTCCTCCCTTGTCTATACTGCTTTGCAAAGAGTTCATGAATTCGCACCACCACATTATCAGATGTTAGGCATTATCACACCGGTACGAAGTCAGCCTCGTTCAGGTGGCCAGCTCAACATGTCAGTAGAAGCCTTGATACATTGATATTGAAGTCTAGCCACTTCTGCTGTTTGTTGCGCGAATGCTGGTGCTTCTGGTAACATCGGTTTGTCAGTCAAACCCGGCAAATCACTCGCAAGCCCCCTGGTTTCCGGTGGAGCTTCTCGAGCTAACTGATGGCATCTGCTTGATTGCAGATTGTTGTAGTGTACTGGACTGCGATCTCTTCCAACCCAGGCGGGGCAAACTTTGCGGGAGGAGGCCTGGGGCAGACGGGAAGCCAGTATTCCCCCACAAACGTCAACGTGCATGGTGAGTGCTCCGCAGCCAGTAAACTCAAATGCTTCCTACTTTGGCGATGATCTATTTGTGTTTTTCGGCGTCATTGGTGCACGTTGCCTGGAAGCCTGCGAAGATTAGAAGCCTATTCATTTCAGTTCTTGGTACTGAGCTCAGCCTTCTTGCTCCTTTTCTGCTTTCTAAGCAACGTCCATCGATGAGACTGGAGCGGAAATGTAAAAGGATATATTAGTTGGTACAAGTGGGGGCACCAAATTGAGGTTTGGTCAGAACAAGAGCCAGCTTTCTTCCTCACGTGCTGCTCGGTTTTCAAGCAAGGCATTCACGAGAAAGTTAGCGCCGCTCTCAATTTCGAAAGTTAGGTCGATTAAGGCGACTTCAAGATCTGCAAGAAACAATCGCAACCCAGCCCTTCAAAACCGTCTTCCGCAGACTCTCAAGCACCATTAGAGAGTTCCGTGTTAAGCATCTGCGATCAATGTCAGGGGGCTGCCATTCTTCCCGATCAGGCCTCGTTTCTTTGATCCTTGCGCAACTGATTCAGCGCAAGATGATGTATTTTTGAAGCCGGTTTTCAAAAGGCTCTCACCAGGTTTGCTCCTGTTGCTCCCCTTTGCCTTTTGTCTGCGGAGCACTACAATCCAACTCCGACCACAGGAGTTGAAATTACGAGGAGTTGGAATTACGAGGAGTTGGAATTACGAGCTTTTGCATGCCGGTCTGGTTTTCGTAGACAGGTGGACACACCAGAGATTGAAGATCGGACTCTTTTTGGGTCTGCAGGCGTCATTCTCGGCCTGATGCTTCTGGAGATTGCCATCTCAGCGATACCCTATCGGCTCGCGCACGTCGTATACACCTTTATTTATGGCTGCTGCTACGCGGCGTTCACGCTCATTTATTGGGGGGCTGGAGGCACCCGCCCCGACGGAGAGCGGTTCATCTATAAGCCGCTTGATTACAGCGGGCTAGGAGGTAAGAATTACCATCTTCCTTGTCCCAGATACGATGTAAAGATGAGTTGGAAGGACGCGCAAGTGGTCACAGCTGTCTTTCATTTATCTTACATTTGTGATCGGAAGCGGGTTCGCTTTTGGTCTACTTAGGACGCCTGTGATGTTGTTGGGCGAATCCTCTTTCGAGTGTCTGTTTGTCAGAACGCTCGTTGCAGGTGGGATTTGAGGTTGTCAGGGGTGGGTCGTCGAAAGCCATGTGGAGTCAGGTTAACGTTAGGAAGAGTGACCCAGACCATTGCCTGCTCACCTCGCGCCCACTCCAGACGTCTTCGCCAATTTCTCGGATACTTGACTCAGCGGTGGAAGTCGATCGGGTTGTATGTGTAATCGTTGGGATGCGAACCGCAGGATCGCTTCTGCTTTTGCTTTTTCAACTGCGATCGCGCCTCATTCAAGGGAGGACTTCGACATGCCTCCACTATCAGCGGACCTTCGTGGCTATAGTTTCCAGACCTGCTCGACTCATATTGCACTGAATGCACCTGTAATCTCATCTGTTCGGCTAGCAGTTACCGATGATCTCACCATTCAATAGTTCACTCGACCCTTCCTTCGTTAAAAACAGATTCTGGTCTCTCCACACATCGTATCGTTTCTGTGAACCGCAGCTATCACGGTGGCCGTATTGGCGGTGATGCTCTTGGTGATCATCCCTCTCGCCCACCTCTTCATCTGGTTATGGCACCTCCTCTGGACATGGTTTACCGGCGCGCTTGCGACAGGAGACCGAGTGGGCAGCCTTAACCCCGACTGTTTGCGTAACCAACCTATCCGCGGAACGGAACTTGGTACTTTGTCCCGGAAGCGGAACCCCGCTCCGAGTCCATCAGTTGAGACCTCGGCTGTGTAAGATGAGCAGAGTTAGGGTCAAACTATGTTGCGCGCCCCATGCGAACAGCGTGTTTGGCAAGGAAAGAGACAGAGACCCCGGTAGATAGAAGACTATTCGTGAGAGCATGTCTGTAGGTGCAGGAGAAAAGCGATGTTGAACCGCTCTCTGTTGCATGCGGTTTTAGCGCGCACGCTCAAAAAGGAAGTAGGGTGCACGCTTGGCGTTCAATCCGCACGCTTATAAGGATGTCACTGACAGTCGCACGTTCCTGTTGTTTTTCCTGGCCGTTGTATAACGCGTCCACTGGACTAGCAGAATGTAGAGGCGTAATCAGGACTTGATTCGTGTTTGTTCTCAGTACTTATATCACGATCAGTGAAATATATACACATCAGAAGTAGTTAGCCAGCCTGAGCGAGAGACTCTGATTACACCCCGTCTCAAAATCCCCTGCTCGATAATCTTCGAAGGAATCCCTGGGCGCTCGCAATCCATATGTTACTGTCATGCTCCCAATACTGCAAAATATCGATTGCGAACCGCCCGGGGATTCCCTCGAAGATGATCGAGCAGCGTCTCATTTCCAGACTCGTGTTCAATAGTATATGCACGCTTTTCGTGACACTCTAGCTCCTCATGACGTAACACGGATGAATACGACATGGACAAATCTACAATGCATGATCAAAGCGAGCATTATCACTGCGGTGTAACGTCTGTAACAAATGTGAAACTCGGTAGGAGCCGGCGGCCGTATCCATGAGGATTATTTGCATTCAATCCCATCAACGCATAATTTTCTTGGAAGGTCAGAAAACCTCGAAGTACGACTTTCCCAAAAAGCTGATCATAACAAAGTCCGGAAAACATTCTCCAGGTATTCAACTTTGGAGGTCTGCTTGGGCTGAGGTTAAATATCGGAAGCTATCATCAAGGGAAGAGTTGTGACCGAGTCACCGCCCATGATGACTCGGACCAAATCGATTCCACAGATAACCGTACGCCTTATATACAGTTTTCAGATTGTTAGCTTGAACCTATACCACGCTAGCGTTTCTTGTTATCTGCCCCTCCCAAAATGATGGGTAAGCCATTGGCCGCGTTCCCAATGAGAACAATCTTCGAGTTCTGCGACTTGGCTAACTCCTGCGTGGCTTCAATCCCTTTCCACTGCAGCAACTGGGGACTGATGCCCTGGGACACAATCTTTTGAAAGGTGGCAATACCTTTCGCTTCGATCATCTTCCGTTCCGCTTCCTGTTGTTCCTTCAGCAGAACGAACTCCATCCTTTGGGCTTCCTGAACCCGGAAAGACCATCAATTATGAACGAGCGCTCAGTCTTCCGCCTTCCAAGCGGAGTGAAGCGTCATGACGAAGGTCAGGAAAGAATCCAATTTCTCTCAAATTCATGAAGAGTCAGAGAGGATGCAAACCCGGCGGTAGGTTGAGCTTCAACCTTTAGTACTTGCAAGCTTCAGAGTGCAGCGAAATGCGTTTTCCATCTGGAAGTGCAGAACACGCGTTTTGCATGCTGACGTCACGCACCTGTTCCGTCCGAAGCTTGTCCTGGATCGCGTTCGTGAGCTGTTCCGGCAGTTTGATGGCCCGCAGGAGGACGTCCTCGATGACGATCCCCTTGTGGCTCAGCTTGTGCTGAAGGTACGACGTCAGCTCGCGCGTCAGCTGCGCGCGCGCGTCCGTGTACAGCGCGCGCGCGCTGTACTCGGACGTGATGTTGGCTACCGCAGAGTGCAGTTCCGGCAGGATGATCTTGTTCACGTAGTCGGGGCCCACCTAAAAATAAATGTGTAAGCAGCCTTCAATTGTGTTCGATCAAGCGGGGCTTGAATTTATGCGGATGTGGGGAGACCTGATTGTGCTCGATGCTCTTTTTAGACTACTGATCGCCATCCTAACCCTCTGTGCCGGTGAAACTCAAGTACAGATCACTGAAGAGAGGCGAAGCTCGCTCTTTAACGCAATCCTGTAAAGTAAATTTCAACGCCTTGAAACGATTGAGGCGCAGTAAGTGACGTGGATTTGCCGACTCGTTCAAGGCTTGACAGGTGGTCTTTTGAATCGTTCTAAAACAACCTGCTGATTTCAATTCTAGGTATGGACTTCACTTATGATTATGAAAACGTGCTGACATTCCAATGCCCGCACACTGCTAAGGATTCGTTTTGACTTCTCCATCTAAAAACATTCCGTCCAGTCAGAAGCTTGTTTGCTCAACTAAAGGGGTAAACAGCAAGTAAGAATCTTAGAACGCTGGCCTACCGTTACGTACAGGTCCGCTGCTTTGGCTGGCTCTAGAGAGTGCAGTATGGAGACGTCTAGCTCGACCACAAGGCCCTCTTTGGTGGGGACGTCACTCTCGTCAGCCACAATGAGCTGGGTCTTGGTTGTAAAATTCTGAATTGAACTGACGAGCGGATTGATGAAATATACGCCAGGCTGAAGCACCTGGCGTTCGACTTGACTGAACGTCGTCCGAACGCCAACGGATCCTGTGAAGCAGACAGTGCGAATATTGAAAGTTTGAAGACGAGGATTCTGTTAAAGTCAGGTCAGATTACGTCTACTTTTGTCAAATCAAGCTGAGGAGAATCTGGAAATCTGGTGTGGTTGGTCATAACGGCTTGCCACCTTACGTGAGTGGCAACATGCAAGACAGAAACTTCCAGCTTGCTGAGAAACAGACTCTATTAGCTCACCGAGTCAAAGCAGAAACTTTGTGTGATTTCACCGGGGAGAAAGCGAAACTACTTATCTCCACAAGAAGCCAGTTTGGGAGTGCCGCAAACTTAGCTCACAGACGAAGATACTTCATTCAGCTTGTGTCATGCCAAGAGGATCTGAAGCACGTTCACCCACCAAACCAAGAATTTGTATCGGGGTATAGTTGCACAGGAAAAATCAAAGACACTGACCTGATGGAACGATGACGAACGAAGTTAGAGCAAGCAAAGCAGCCACAAAGACTCCAGTGAAAATGCCTATGAACGTCCACGCCGTGCCCCGTGCAGGGCCTCTCCCGGCAAGTATCACAGGCGTCCGGCATTTCCTGGTTGTCTGGTGAGAAAGAGTTGAATCTGAGGCGGGGTACAGTCCAAAGATTGCCCAGGCAGCATGACTGACAAGGACACTGCTGCTCAATGCAACATAGCTCGAGCTTTGCTTGCACAGGAAGGAGCTTTGGAGCACACTCTGCTTTCTTGGTACCTCCTTAGCAAGCTGTTTCTTTTCCGAGGCTGCTTTGGAGGACAAGGCAAGGCAGCTCTGTGGGATGACTCTAACACTCCTCTGAGCAACTCTGGTTGAGGATTTGTGCGCTTTACACACAAAATGGATGGCCGTTGAAGAGTGCCCGAGAGCTCCCTTGTTTGCATACTGCGACAGACATGACTGCACGCATCCAAATGTACCATTCTGCTGGAAGCTGTAAGGTGCGGCGACTCTATTGTGGAACGCAAAGGCCGAAGGCAGGTTGCAAGCTGCAAGCGCCATGGTCGATCGCATCCGCTGTTGATAGTTTGGCTGCTCTATGCAGCGAACAACTGCAGATTGAGCCTCGAACTGGATCACCAATACTTGCCCTCCACAGCTGCTGCATCCCGTGCGTAATTTCTGAGCCACTGCTCATGAAGAAGACGCGAAGTTCGATAAGGACGGTCGCGTATCCTCCGTCGCAATTCAAAGATACGGTGATCAGATCAAGGGCAAGGCACCGACGGTTGGTGACAAACCTCCGGCCGACGCGGCCGCGCGGACCGGGCAACGATTGAAAACGAACGTGACTCCTCAGGCTTGACCGGGCGGAGGTAGCGCGGCGGCCCGGGGCGCAAGCGGCCTCCGCGCGCAGCGCGCGTACGGAGCGCACCGGCCGGGCCCGGCCGCCGGGCGGTGTGGCGGCCGCTCATTCGCAGCCAAGACGAAAATGGCTGAATTCAAATTTGATCCAATATTCATGCTTGGAAGCTTCACACGCAGTCCTTCCGTGGATTGTAACGTCCTTTGTCAATCACGGAAGCAAACTGGCATATGAGATCGTTTTATCTTGAGAATGGTGAAGACAAAGGCCGGGATGCAATCTCCATGGTGGACAATAGCTGACAGCGGAAAGCTGACAACAGGGAGCAGTCGACGCCGATCCCACATTGACTGTTTGACTGGTGCTATCACCGCTATTTGGGGGCTGACTCGTCATGGTCGAGCGGAATACCCAAGCAGGTATACCTATACGTAAACGTATACGTATACGTGGCACTCAATGAACAGGACGCATGGAGCTATTCAGGGACATGCTGGATGATCACGATCATATGCTCGAGGATCAAGGTCAACGAGTATAAAGTTTCCAGGCAGACGCAAGGTCTAGATCACCTGCTTTTTGCTTTGACTATCTCAGCTTCACCCCCGAGAATGATTGGCAAGCCGTCTTTGGCATTCCCTATCACAACGATCTTGGAGTTTGGCGACTTTGCTAACTCCTGGGTGGCCTCAATTCCTTTCCATTGCAGCAATTGGGGGCTGATGCCCTCAGAAACAATCTTTTGGAACGTAGCTATGCCCTCCGCTTCGATCCTCTTCCGTTGCGCTTCCTGTTGCTCCTTCAGGAGGACAAACTCCATCCGTTGGGCTTCCTGAGAAACACGCCACGACAGACCCCTTGTCAAAGCAGATGGGGGATTGAACGCACACTTCGAAGGAAGTCTTGGGATCAATGTCGACAATCGAGCCGCAAGAGCGATCAAAGTCAAACCTTTGTAGAGGGATTCAGCCGTTTCATCCGCTTGAAAAGGGATCCAGCCGTCTCATCCGGTTGAAAGGCTGCAGCCTCTTTCTCCAATCAAATTGCTCCTGATACTCCTTTCCCCGTCGCGAAGTTGCATGTTTCTACGATCGGTAAAAGAGAAGTCAAACAATTTTCAAAATGGCGGCGAGTCGCTTTATACCCCTGACCGACGTCCTTGATTGTAATAAACCTTTTCAGAAATCCGGAGGCAGGTTCGGCCGCTGCAATTGTTGGAAACTTCAAAGGCGCCCATCGACAACCTCGTAGGAAGAAGCTGGCGGCGGCCGTCCTTAAAGCTGGCCGTCGCAAAAATTTTGCAACAAGCGGTTCAAGTAACCAAAGACTTCATCAGGATCACATCGGTCACATACCTGCTCGGTCCGCAGCTTGTCCTGGATTGCGTTCGTGAGCTGTTCCGGCAGCTTGATGGCCCGCAGGAGCACATCCTCGATGACTATTCCCTTGTGCGTCAGCTTCTGCTGAAGGTATGACGTCAGCTCGCGCGTCAGCTGCGCACGCGCGTCCGTGTACAAGGCGCGCGCGCTGTACTCGGACGTAATGTTGGCCACCGCGGAATGCAATTCGGGCAGGATGATCTTGTTCACGTAGTCGGGGCCAACCTGGAGAGAAGCATCGTTTTCGATTGTGTCGAAAGATGATTACCTTCGTAAACGATCATAAGACTCTTTTGGGCTCCAACTCTCGGGATAGATACGTCGTGACCCGTAGCTCTGGTCAGTGCGGGAAAGCGCTCCTCGAAGTCGAGCGCTTCTGTGCGGTATGAGACTCAAGATCTGCTTGGACTCTGCCACGCTCTTATCTTCTGCTTCTTCGCCACCTGATGCAACGCCCGCCTTACCTGTTAGTGAACGCGCTGCACTTATTTTGTCTATCCAAACTTCGACGACACGCGAGGTTTTGAATCAAGGTCCGGAAAAGGTCTGACCAAAGACTTGGTTAACAATGGCCTCGTTAACTTCATGATTCCATATGGCTAAATCTTCTTAGACGAGACACCAACGGTTTGGCAGTCCCTGCTGAACGGCTGCTCGCTTTCATATGATATCCCAACACCAACAAGAAGTTGAACGTCCTACTGCATGTTTCCATTTCCTTCAATATTTGAAGCTACTCGAATTGACTTGCTGACTGCCTTTCTAATTCCAGTCCTTCCTCTGATCTGGCTTACCGTGATGTACAGATCGGCGGCGCTGCCCGGTTGCAGCGAGTGCAGGATGGACACGTCCAGCTCGACCACCAGGCCTTCTTTGGTGGGGACGTCACTCTCGTCAGCCACGATGAGCTGCGTCTTGGTTGTTTGGGTCCGGATGTCGCTCACGAGCGGGTAGTTGAAATGCAGGCCCGGCAGAAGCGCCTGGCGCTCGACCTGTCCGAAAGTTGTTCGAATGCCAACGGATCCTGTGGATTCAAATACATAGTTTAATTATCAAGAGTCAGAGACAAAGGCAAGTCCATGCCAACTCACATTTGTTTGTACACGTTGAGCGATTTCGAAAGTAAACAGAGTCATTATCGTCAACAATAGAGAAGCAGAGGAGGTCGAGTGTACTGATCAATTAGTGGCAGCTGCAAAGACTCATTCCTGACAGACTCTGAAGTTGACAAAATTCAATTTTCGTCACAAGTGGCACATTCCTCCTTGCTTGAAAGGAGACATTCGTCATCAAAGAAGATGCTTATTCGTCATATCAGTCGTTGTCAGTGGCTTGCTAGACAGCAGGATGAAAGCTTGAGCAACAGCACTCACCAGAAGGGACGAAAGAGAATGAGCCCAGAGCAAGCACAAGGACTGCAGCTCCAATAATGACGGCCGTCCGACGGACACCGTCAGCCAAGAAGTCCGCTATGTCATCGAAAAGATCCATTACAATCACGTTCTTCTGCCGGCACTTTCTAGAGGGTCGCTGGGACACACGGCGGCCTGGTGCGCTGTACACTCCAAAGCTTTTCCAGCCTGCATGACTGGCAAGGCCACTGCTCAAGGCAACATAGCTGGGGTAGCCTCTGCCTGGTGTCAAGGAACTCTGTAGCATATTTTCTTCTCTGCTTCTTAGATGAGTTTGTGATCCACTACAGTTGAACAAGCGTGGCTTCCAAGGTGGTGCAGTTGAAGAGTAAGAGTTAGACCTCTTCCTATGACCAGCTATTGTTCTCATGGGGCCTGTCCTGCTGGTGGGAGATATTTGGCTGGCACTTTGGGCGAGCGTACTGCTTCTGTTGATCCGAGTGACTGCACTGTGCCCATAAGATTGCACATTGCAATATTGTCCTAATTTGAGGTGCTGGTTGGACAGGTAAGGACTTCCTTGGAATGAAACAGGGGCCAAATGCAGGCTACAACTCGCAAGCGCCATGATTGCGTCAATGTTCAAATTCTCCTTCTCAGGGAACTTCAAAACTTGTCGTTATACAACTGCTAGTTGTCGCCGCCCGCATTCACCGCGGCGACGCTGTCAGCTGAACAGGAAGGGCGCATCACTTCTCCAGACTTCTCCAGCTGCGGCTTGCAACCCTAGGCCTCTCAAGTGAGGCTCGTCTCCTGTAATGGAATCGGTGACTACGAAGCAGCAATGCAGACGTAACTTCGTAAGTCGGGCCTGCCGCCTACGCCACCGCCGCGCAATCACTGATGACCAGGGGGTACGTGACCTAGAGAATCAAACCCCTATTGGACGGTGGATGTTTTCCATTTCGAACATCGGACGGTCTAAATGTTTCGAACCCGGCCCAGAAATCGCAAACCCCGCGAAGCATTTCCCGGCGGCCGCCCGGGCGCGGTAAAGCCAGCTAGCCGCGCGGCCGCCTTGCTGGTGACACCGTCACGGCCGTCGATCCGATCGGTTGGCCCTGTAAATGACGTCCGACGTCGGTAGCGGCGGCAGGGCCGTCCGACCCTCACAGGATCCTCAGAGAGCGAGACGGCACTCAGTGCAGATGACATCTGCAGCACAAGCAAGTCGGGATGTGCTGGCTCCCTGCTGGTTCAGGGACTTCATGGGCGCGGAGCGAGCAGCGCGGATCTCTAATAAAGGTAAGGTGATTCAGCGATTCGCACTGGTGGGACACAGGGGGCTCCGGAAGTATTTGATTCGCCTCCTTTTGGAGTGTACTCACTCATCTCGCCACTCCAGTATTGCGCGGCGCGAGGGCGACGCAGCTCATCAATCACCCTCACACCTTCGTTTGGCCATCCGGACGTCAATCAGCAGCACTGATCAGAAGCAATCTAGGCAAGGTTGCAAACAGAGCCTGATGTATCATAGCGTGCTTTGTTACTCAAACGCCGGCGTAATAATGCAGATTAATCTTTAAATCAAGTGCCTGAGTGAGAGAGCGAGGCATGCAGCCGCGCCGCCAGGGCTCGTTATCATGATCCGAACCCGATTTGAGGCTCTCCTCAGAGATCTAAGGGCCCTTCTGTATTTCAAGTACGGTTCATGGTGATCTCAACGTGGCCAAAGAATATCAAGTTCCGAGTCAGCGCCCATTTGACCATTCGGTGTGGCAGCTCGACTCTTACATGCGGTTAATTACAGGGGTCGGAATCCGCTCCGGCGTCTAGGCGGCCGCTCACATTGATTGAACAACCATGTGATGGAGCCGCCGACCAAAAGGTGCCCTTGGAAGCGAGCGCAGTTCAGGCGGCATCTTTCAAGCATCTATGCAGCAGAAAAAACGCGCTCTCGCATGACGCGTGGTGGCGGGATCCACGACACAGACCAATTATGCAGCAAATACTCAAGAACACGTAATGGGGGATCACTTCGTTGTGCATCTGCTCTTGGACGCATCAGCCCAGAGACCAGGAAACATGGAACGTCCGAATCTCGAGGAAATGTAAAGTAGATTTCAATTTTATTTTTTTGACGTTTTGATTGGTCGACCTCTTTCTAGGACTAATAGGAAGCACTTACAAGCAGGTCTATCACTTGAAGTGGACCACGGAAGGCGTGGAAGTACGTCATACCACAAGCTGTTGGCCAGGTATCCGTCCACGATGCATTGAGTGATAGGGCCACTGTGCACATGCAGAATGGTGCCATATGCATGTTTCACGCTAAACGGGCAGTCTTGCCGGCGAGGAAGCTAAGGCATATGGCCGAAACATGGCGCGCGGGGGCAGGGTGCAGCAAAATTTGTAAACCCCAAAGGGTGCCCCTACCTGATGTGTGCCAAGACGCCTATGAAGGGAGTCGTCACCAGGAGGGCTCGCTCACTCTATTGGTACCGAATACGAAGGACTGTCCCACATCCGAAAACGAGGCCAATCTATCAACTCAAAGGACTAACAAGAGGCTTCGCATTCAGGACATGACCAGGACCCTAAGGCGGCACATGGAAATGGATATCAGGCAGATTCCGCTTATGTATCCACTGGCAGCTAGAACTTTCAGTGCACGCATAAGGAGTAATCAATGTTATCCTGCCGTGAGAAGCAATACGGAGAGAGGTCAAAACTATATCTAAGCAGAAGTCCTTCAAAGGAAGGACTCTAGTCGAAGCGCGGTCGAAACTCACCCTGATTAGAGAGATAGACGCAGACTTATTTTGCTATAAGAATCTATCAAAGCTGTTTCGACTTGACGTACTTGCCTGTTGGATTCTACTCACATGACATTTTGAAAACATCCTGACCTTCTAGACTGCATCTAGGCTTTCTCCAAGAGCCCACCTTTGATTGTCCGTGCCACACCGCCCTACGCTTTGGCACTGCCTTAAATCTCGTCAGCTTCGTCCTCCCTGGAAGAAGACACCGGTGTGACCCGGGGCTTATTGAGATTGAAGTTGAAGCTTCGTATCTTCGAATTCTTCATCACTATACAAAACCCCTTCTCTGCGGCAAAGAGTAACATAGAACCGGTCCCGATAGCCCCGAGAACCAGACAGAGAAAGAGCAGTTTCTTGTTGTCCTCTGAGCATGGGTGAGCATCGTGCTCAGCCTTCTGTAGATCTGGCTTGAGCTCTCCATAAGGCTCCCCAACACGTGCACAGCTGGCCTGAAAACCAATGTAAAACGCTAGATTATCTGTCGTGCACAGCTGCAAATCTACACTGTCTTCGCCTAGCTTGGACGCGAGGTACTGGTTTAACCCTTGGTTTGGGTCAGGGAGGTTGACCGGGCCTTTGTACTCAATCCATGTTTTGGGCCAAAGGCAGTGCGCCGCGCTTCCTGTCAGGGACGCAATTGCCACTCCCAATGCAAATAGAGCAGCAATGAAGAGCCAAGCGTACGGCCTAAAGGCCTCCTTGGTAACAGGCTTGCTTCCTTTGCCTGCCAGAATGTGGCCTAACGAGACAATCAGGAACACCACGGGGAACAACACCACTAACGACAAGAAGGCGGCAAAGGTAAGTCCCCATTCTAGGCTCAAGTAGACATAAAAATAGATGAGCCAGTCGATCTTAGCTGAAACCATGTGCTTGCGGTGCTCAATGGAGCTAACTAGGGGCGGCGGAAGCTCGCAGGCCTTGCCGGGTGCCTGCACTTGGTAAAAGTCAAAGGTGACTCCCAAGGGAAGGGACTGGCACTTAATGACCTGGAGGGGTTGCGGTTCCTGCCCTCCCAACACAGGGTTGGTCCAGTTTGAGTACCTATCAAGCAGAAAGTCATTGACCAGCTTTGGATCAGGAAGGCGCAAGACGCTCAAGTCACTGTAATTCCCTGCAGCCTGCGCTTTGCTGCTTCCGAAACAGAAGCATGCAACAGCACCGAGCGTGAGATGGAGAGCAAGGTCAAAGCGATACCGTGGCGCCATCTCTTCCCTGCTTGTCTTACACCTTGCATTTGTGAGCTCGTGCCGCGAATAGAGCAAATACACCCTGCTAGGCCGCCAGCGGCGCGGATGCCGCGCGGGCGCAGGTCTGAAACCCCGGCCAGAAGGTTTTGGGTTTCCACAGCGTACTACGTGCGACGTGGCCGCGGCCGACCTGGCCGGCCCGCCCGCCCCGCGGCATATGGGCGGTCGGGGCGGGCGGTCCCGCCGCCGGGTCGGGCGGACCGCGGCCCGGCCGCGCAGCTTCGTGGGCCGTCCTTCGGAAAATAGAAACCTGAAGATTGATACATAGATCAAGAGCTGGGCTCGGAGCTGGCTGTCAGTCTCCGCGGCCGGGGCAACTGAAAGAAGGCTTACCACCCCTTCTCTCGCCTTGTGTTTTGTAATTGTGGTCGAGTGGTTCACTGTAGGCCGTGAGAATAAACACACAAGCTCGCATCTGAAAGCAACACCTTGAGATCAGGGCGGTCTCACAGCAGGATGTGGGCTCTACTTCTAAGATCCAGCAGTACAGAAACACGAGGAGGCCTGACACGTCAATTCCAATTGGAATTGACGTGTTGTTGCAATGACGACCGCTGCTGCGGACGGTGATTGGGTGATGCTTATTCCGGTGCCTTGACGACTCTCTTGTCGAATCAGAAGCGATATAGGGCCCGCTCACGTTTATGTCTTCTCGCACATGCAAAAGAACAAAAGAAACATCCCAGTATCTTGACGCTACTGGTGTACCGTCAAGGCACTTTCAGGTATCCTGAAACAGGTTGTCCTGCCTGATGACGGCGGAGACGTGTCGCCCAGCACGTGATGAGGTGGATACAAGTAACGACACCACATGTCGGTCCCAGTCGCCAGAATGAAGAAAGGGGCGAGTCCGTCAAACAGTCACCTACGTAATACTGCAACATCAACTGCACTGCGTGGCGTACTTCAATTGATTCGTGGTACGAGTCCGAAATCACACCGCAAAGATCATCCATTCTGGAGCCTTCAATGGGCGGCTTCTCTGAAAAAACTTCGGCCTAACTTGGAGGCCGCCCCTGCAGACCACGGCCGCTCGTCTCCGTTCGCGGCAGAAGGGCCCACGCTGCACGCCAACGCGCTTCTTGGGTTGACGACACCTCGTGTCCTGCATGAGCATTTTGAGAAGGGATTCCTGAGAGGGTAGCCCTTCAACATCACCCGTTTCCCGTTTTTATGACAGCTGCCCTTCGATGCACCGAGAGGAGGGTGTTATCATTGCTTGTGTGCCACATAGATCGGCACTTTTATTCTAGCTCTGCAGCCAGCAGCTAGTTTCCTTTAGAGCAAGCGGAAGAGGGGCTCTCAAGAAAACGTTCGGAGGACTCCAGATTTGGAGGGAGAAAAGCGGAGGACCGTTTGGAGAAGGGACCGTTTGGAGAAGGAACCGTTCTGGAGAGGCTTCCAGCGAGGCTCGCTATATAATCCCATCCGTTCCTCAACGATGAACCTACTGGGCCGTTTAGGAAACGGACGTCTTCTGGCCACCGACGATCCGAACAAGGACCACTATATATAAGCCTTGGCTTCGTGGCGGCGCACGCGCCTCGTAGTAGTGAGGCTATAGCGCCCGTCTAAAAATGCGAGCAGAATTGGACACGCCAGATGATTTGAAGGCCCTGTTTTACTGAGGCTGCAGAAAAGACCTGCAGAAGGCCGGCACATACCCTATACTCCGGCACATAGCTTAATTTCCTGAGGGGCCCGAAATCCGGCCGGATCCTGTGCCCCAAGCAACGGGTGGTCAAGCTCGCGTTTTCATTGGCAGAAGCTCATCCCGTAGCTATAACCCCTGCCTTCACGGAAGCAGGCATTTGAAAGGCGATTACAGCCGAAAAGTAAGGCCGGCGGGCCGCCATGGAAACGCATATACAGAATCGGGTCCTTTCTGACCGAGCTCCAAAGTCTACAGAAAGGTGACTTCGTGTTATATAGAGGTCTTCAAGTAAAAGGCGACGAGTACTCTAGCGAGCAGCAATTTGTGATGCGGGCAGCCTCGCATCATGCTGATACGAGTACTCTGATGCTTCCTCTCAGACGTGCCGCTCTTCCGTGCAGCTCCGTGCACTGAGGGAAGCGGCGGCAAAGTGGGACCCACAACAACCGCCTCAAGCCTTGCGCAGACTCGCGCTTGCAGCTTTGCAGTCTTAAATAGCCCGCGCGACTGAATCCGGGCAGAAGATGCGCCAGTAGTGATTGATAGAACCCTTTCAAGCGCCGCGCCAGAATTGTAGGTGCGCCAACTATTTTTTTCAAGGGGATAGAAAGCTGATCATTGCATCATCGATGGAGAGGAGGCTCGCGTAGAACGTCAGAGCACTAGAAAGGAATCTGTTCAAGCGACGAAGGATCAATCGACTTTAGTTTGCCAGACAAAAATTCGATGTAAGTCTTGTGCTTTGATACGAAAGGGTACTAGGCTATCTTGATATTGTTGAACGACTATGAAGATTTAGAATTGCAGCTCCAGTACGAATTAATACACAAGTGTCGAGCATATAGGCAGCAGGTATAGCGCGCCCCGTGATGACGGGTTGTGGCAAGAACTACAAGTGGCACATAAAACTGGATATTGTGATCGTTGGAAATCCACTATTATTGCCATCTGCTTTTTGACGCATCAACCCAGAGATGAAGGAACTTAATGCCCATCTGTCGAGGGGATGTGATAGACTATCAACAACGTTCTGTTTGGTCGAAATACTACAGCTAGGACTGATAACAGGTAGAAGAATAAGCAGCCTGTTCATTGCATGGAGCAGATTTCGGAAGACGTGAAACTTGTACCGGAAGCTATCATTCACCCTTCAAGTTGCGAACCATCTTAAATAGCGCCCTTGATGATTACAACGATGAAGTGGATAATGAAGTCCACCCACTTGCACAATCTAGGCGCAAGGGCAATCTTGCAGGCGAGAAACATAGGCAGGTTGGTCGAGACGTGGCGGTGCCAGCGCGGGGTGCGTGCAACATCGTACGATAATCAGGAGACTTTCCAACGTACTTGACCTGTGCTAAGACGCTCGTAAAAGAAAACGCTTCAAGAGGGGTTTACCACTCTCTGATGTACCAGATCAGAAAGAAAGTTTGACATAACAATCCAGAGCCAGCCAAACAATTAGAGGAGAACAACAACAGAATTCGGATTCAACACCCGACCATGACCTAAACGGCAGTTAGAGCTAGATCTGATATGTATATCTCTTCGTTGACAACCGAAAATTGTATAGCAAGCGTGCTGAATAGCCCAAAATCTTGCCATTAGAAGCATTCCAAGGAGGTCAAGCACGTGCAGAATGAGTTCCAAGGAGGGCTCCTCGTCGAGGCCAGACTTGAGTTGACAGATATTACACAGACTAATCTCATGTAACATCTCTAGGTTTGACTCTTAGACGCCTTCCACTTTGCTTGCAAAATCCTACGCACTTGGCTGACTGTATCGCTTTCGTCTTCTAGATTGCATAATAGAGTTCTTCCAGTAGCCCACCATTTATTGACCCTACAGCGCCCTCAGTTGGCCAATCTCCTACACTGCGTCAGCCTCGTCCTCCCTTGTAGAAGACACCGGTGTGACCCGGGGCTTACTAAGAGTGATATTGAGGCTTCGTACCTTCCTCATTATAGCACGGTATCCCACTACTGCGACTATGAGCAACACAACACCGGTCCCGATACCCCTTTGAACCAAACAGAAGACGAGAAGTTCCTTGTTGCCCTCTGAGCATGGGTGAGCATCGTGCTCACTGGCAGCCTTCGGCAGATCTGGCTGGAGCTCTCCATAAGGCTCCCCCACACGGACACAGCTGGCTGGAAACCTTATGTAGAATGCTAGGTTATTGGTCGTGCACAGCTGCAGGCTTAGACTACCTTCGCCTAGCGCGAAAGCGAGGTACTGGTTCAGCCCTTGGTTTGGGTCAGGGAGGCTAACCGGGCCTTTGTATTCGATCCTCGTCTGGGGCCAGAGGCAGTGCGCCGCGCTTCCAGTTAGGAAACCAACTGGTACTAGCGACGCAACTAGAGCAGCAAGTAAAGCCCAAGCGTAAGGCTTGAAAAAACCTTTGGGAGTAGGCTCGTCCCCTCTGCCCGCCCGAATGTGACCACATAGGACGATAAGCACCACCAAGAGGAGCACACAAAAGGCGGCGAAGGTGACTCCCCATTCTAGGCTCAAGTAGACACAGACATAGATCAGCCAGTCGACGCCAGCTGAAACAATGTGCTTGCGGTGCACAATGGAGCTGACTAGGGGCGGCGGAAGCTCGCAAGCCTTGCCGGGTGCCTGCACTTGGTAAAAGTCAAAGGTGGCTCCCAATGGAAGGGACTGGCACTTGATAACCTGGAGGGGTTGCGGTTTCCGCCCTTCCAGCACGGGGTTGGTCCAGTTTGAGTACCTGTCAAGCAGAAAGTCATTGACCACCTTTGGATCAGGAAGGCGCAAGACGCTTGAGTCACTGTAATTCGCTGCAGCCTGAGCTTTGCTGAAACAGAGGCATGCAATAGTACCGAGCGTGAGGAGAGCGACGTCAAAGCGATACCGTGGCGCCATCTCTTTCCTCCTTGTCTTCCTACACCTTGCATTTGTAAACTCCTGTTGAGTGACAGCCCGGCCCAGAGCGAATACGCCATGCAGCGGCGCGACTGCCGCGCGGGCCGCAGATCTAAAACCCGGCCGGAAGGGTTTGGAGTTTTACAGCGTATGTGGCACGCGGCCGACGTACCTGGCAGGCCCGCCCGCCCGGCCGGCGGTCGGGTGGACCGCGGCCCGGCCGCGCAGCCTCCAGGAAGTGCAGACTCCGACAATATGGTGGGCCGTCCTTTGAAAGGGAAGAATGCAAAAAAAATAAGATTGATACAACGATCAAGAGGGCTCGGAAGTTCATCAGTCTCCCTGGGGCAAAGCAGGCTTACCACCCCATGTCTCTCCTTGTGTTCTATGAGGTGTGGTCGAGCAATTCATAACGCGTCAGAATAACTCAAAAGCCTCATGATCATCTGAGACCAGCGCCGTGAGACTAGGGCGGTCTTACAGTAACTGAACGAGACCGGGCTTGTCTCAACGCACACGCCGTTCGAGAATGATCTGGTCATAAACGGCCTGGCTAATTACCGTTTCGAGGACCATATCATCTTGATTGAAGCGCAATTCTGGAAACTCACAAGGTCCAGTTTGTTGCTTCGGACGCATAACTTTAACGAAGCGATCGGTCCGGTCCAAGGAGGTTTCAAGTCTTGAAGTTTGCCTCGACATAGAATATAATAAGAACACTTCGTACGAAGTTATTCATTCTTACAATCTGGATTCACTTTCGAGCGCGCCTTCATGTGGCAAATGATTCTGAGACACGGGGAGGCCTGACATTCTAGATGTCATCATTTAAGTGCTGCTGCGGATGCTAAGAAGGTTTTGCTAAGTTTGCAGTGCCTTGATGGACGTGACCTGTCGACGGTTGTCTAGTTTGTCGGAAGCAAACAGAATTGATCGTCCCCGCTCACATTCATCAAGTTGCGTACACGCAAAGGAATCTTCCAGTATTCGAGTAAGCATAAAGGCACTGTCAGCTATCTCAAAATTGATCGTCGTGCCCGATGATGCCTGAGACGTTCCGCCCAGCCGCGGTGAGGTGCACCCAATTATTACCCCGCTTGTCGATCCCCGTCACCAGAATCGAGAAGGGGCGAGTTCGTCAAACATATTGCTACTTGGTATCCTACATCAGCTGCGCTGCGTCGCGGGATCTGATTGCAATTGTGGATCCGAGCCAAATAATGACCTTGCAGTAAACCTCAATTCTGGAGCTTCAAAGGATGAGGGCGGCTTCTTCAAGACCAGCACTTCGGCCTCAGTTGGAGGCCGCCCCTGCCGACCGCGGCCGCTCGTCTCCGTTCGCGACAGAAAGGCCCATGCTGCACGTCAATTTCGTCGTGAGATAACTCCTGGTGACCTGAATGGGCAGGAGGTGGATTCGAAAAGGCTTTTCAAGGATTCACACTGAATGCGTGTAAGTCTTTTGGAAGTTCCGGAAAGTATGAAATTGAGAGTCATTCAGAGAGGTGAACCTGATACGAAGTCGTACGAAAACAAGCAGCGCCTGGGACACTACAGAGGCTCATTATCGAGTAAACAAGGCATAGCAAGTTAAAAGTGAACGTAAAAAAGCTTTCTTCCTAAAGATTGATGCTACACCAGTTGGGTTGAATTCATGTCGAGACATAATTTTTCGTTCCCAGGTTGAGATCTCGAGACCGTAGATTGCCCGGACCTTGATTTCACGAAGCAAGTGTTGGGAACTTTTGCCAAATCCAATCAAGAGCTGATGCCCGACAATCTTCATCTAAGCTACCAGGAAGCAAAAGTCGCCTTAATTGAGAGCAACTCCAATTGATTTGAGTTGGTTCAAGTTACTTTCTCAAATAAATCCTCGAGTCTGATTAGTCGTACTGATTTTTGGGAGCTCCGCTGAGGAGGGCACCAGTTCAACGTCGCCCACTTCCTCGCTGAACGCCAGCTCTCCTCCAGAAAGATGCACGAAGAGGATGGTCCGATCGTTCTGTGCGATGATTGCTGGCCTCGCTGAAGGTCTTATACTTATGTCGTTTGCAGTCAGCCGGATCCCCTATAAAAGCAAGCAAAGATGGGCTTTCATCAAATACTAAACGTTCGGAGGTTTCCGGTTTCCAAAAGAAGACGACCGAACCGCAGTAGATGAGTCCAGCCTCAAACGAGGCTCGCTCTTCTATCCAACCGCCCCGGCACCCAGTGATGAAGTCTGCTGGACGGTGAGAGAAACGGCCGTCGTCTGCTTACCGCGAATCCGAGCAGCGACCAGTTCCGGACCACTTGTTGATATCCTGGGGCTTGGCTTCGTGGCGGAAAATGCGTGCGCACGCGTCGCAGATTGCGAGGCGGTGGCGCCCGTCTATACTGTAGACCACTGGCTGTTTTGAGCAGACAGATGATCAGAAGGCCCCATTTGATTTGGAAGTACGTAGGAATGCTTTGCGACAGACGGGGCATCCAGTCGATCGTTGAAGGGCCGCACGCGGGTTTGTCCAGTCTCTCTAGTCGTTCGCAGATCGAAAGATGTTGAGTTCTTGAGTCTAGCAGGCATAGGCTGGTGCTATTGTCCAGGTGTTCCGGGACCTGGCTGCAGAATGCGGGGTAATCCCTTTGGAAAGCAGGCATGAAAAGCAATAAGAGACTTGAGAAGTGATGACGGGCCGCCATGGTGGCGCATAGGACCCGGTCTTTCTGACGCGCATTGAATCTTCGGTCAAACTGAAATCGTGTTCTGTAAAGAGCTCGTCCGTCATCCACAGCGACTTGAATCAGCGATGCTTGCAGCCTCGCATGCTGTTACTGCAACATTCTCATATGTTTCTGCTGAAAGCGCCCTTCCTCCGTGCAGCTCCGTGCGTCAAGCAAGCAGCAAGGAAGTGGCGGCCGCTCGGGCCGACAACAACGGCCTCAAACCTTGTTCATTCCGACTGCCGCGCTCAGCTTATCTTTTGCCCGCGACTAAATCCGGGTAGAGACCGCCAAAAATCGTTCTGCGCGTTGACGAAACCTTTCAAGCGCCGCGCCAAACCCGTAGGTGACTTTTGGTAGTAAAAGGATTTCATAGCGAGGCATGCTTCTTGAAACGCCAGAGCAGAAAGGATTTAATTTGGCTGATCGGGGAGGAACACAGCCCATCTCTCCATCTCACAAGATGGCGGCATGTGTGGGTGTGCTTCGATATGAAAGGAAACTTGAATTGAAGCTGTTGAAAGATTGAAGATCAGAGCCCAGCTTGCAGCATATTCGTACTACGGCTGGCGCCCCAGCCAACTGACCCGTGACTTCACATGACCTACTTCCGCGCATTTGTCTTTCATGTCCTGGGTACGACCTTTCAATCCTACTTAAGGGCTTTAAGATGCACACATCATACGGACTCAATCCGCTGATCAGCATGACAGCCGCTCTGACTGCTCCAGTGCCTTACAGGCACGATCGCACGAATCCGCACAAACGGCATTAGCCCTAGCACTACGAATGACTGTTGCGACCTATGTTGGGGACTACGCGTGATATCTGGACTGTAGACCTGACCGTACAGGCCGCTATTTACCGCCAGCTTCAGGAAAGTCTTCTCTAAGCCGCTTTAAAACAACACTGTTTTCGGAACGGTAATGTTTGTGGGAATGCTGAAAGCCAGTGCTCATGAGGATATGATGCAAACGGTAGTCTTTCTTAAGAAGAAGAGCTCTTAGTCACTACATATCACCTTGGATCACACACATGTCACCAGTACTGCAGCTAGGCCTATAACATGATGGATAGCGAAACGATCTTGTACTTTCGTTTAGTCGGCTCTTGACGTGGTGCCCAGATCCAGGCTAAGAGGCAAAGTGATCAGCGACTCTCGTTGCAAAACTCGGAAAGCTAGTCAGAGGGTGAATCATGATGGAAAGAAGCGAATCGCGTGACAATATGATCAGATTCGTAACGCATCCGCTTTATGCAGGAATTAGCCGCATCTTTATTGATTCTTACCACCTTTTGAGCCTTGCATGCAGCCAACTTTATTGATGACAGGGCTTGCGGATACGTTGTCCATTACCACGATCTTTTTAGGCAGAGATGATGCAGATAGATTGCTCATAGGTGCAAACAATATACTAAACCTTTTTTTCAGAAGTCCTGTTGAATTTGGAAAGACGAATCAAAGGCAAACGGAGAGCGGATTCTGCTTAATCTAGTACCTGCAAAATACGTAATGTGCTACAAGATGCTCAGAAGACTGTAGACGGCAACTTAGAGAATGGAATCCAACTCTCTAGCATGTGACTTATCTCGGCTCCTTTGATCTTCAGTCACTTCGTCCTTTAGCTCTATTCCCTCCCCCAAGCCTGCGGGCGTGCCCTGGGGTGTGACAACCGGCCATGTTGTGGCCCGGCAGCTTCCATAGAGCTTATCGTGCACTACACAAATGATCATCAAACCAACTATGATAAGAGCTGGCACCCCAATGAAAACACCCGTGAAACCCGTGACGAGCGCAGTGAAGATCGCACAAAATCGAAAGAGGGAATTCATGGGCTCTGAACAACGGCCAATCAACTCTGCTTCCGGAACAAACGGCATAAGGTCTCCATAAGGCTCTCCCAACAGCGCGCAGGGGTACGAGAACCCAACATACAATGCTAGCTTGTCTGTCGTGCATAGCTGCAACGTAAGGTTGCCTTTATCTAGCTTGGAAGCAAGGTATTGGCTGAGCCCTTGATCAGGGTCAGGCAGGCTAACCGGACCCGTGTGCTCATACCAGGTCTCTGGCCAAAGGCAGTGTGCTGCTGTCTTGGTATAGACTAGGGCTATGACAAGTGAGAAGATTACTACCACCTTGAGGATCGCCCAGGTTGCCGGTTGAACGATCTGAGGCGGCAAGTCAATGGTTGCAGATGCCTCGTCTTCGATGCGGCTTGGATCAGACTCTGCGGACTTCGATTGGGCGTGAAAGCTTGCAAGGGATGCTACCCCTCCCCACAGAGAGATTGTAAAAAGCAGTGAGGTAATGGCTAAAACAACGTAGCTGAGCAGAAAGAAAGGCCAGCGGACTCGGCGTCTGTGCAAAACGCTTGTCAGGGGTGGGGGGCGCTCGCAGGGCTGGCTGGGAGCTTCCACTTGATAGAAACCGAAGCTGGGCCCCAAAGCAAGGGACTGGCATCTGATGACCTGAAGCAATGACGCGCCTGAGTCCCCCGGCGCGCCCTCTCCAGCTGCGACCTCTGGCAAGTTTGTCCCATTGGAAACGTTGTAAAAGCTGTTCAGTAGATACTCATTGACTAGAGTTGGCTCAGGAAGTGGTAAGAGGCTAGCGCTGATGCCACTTGTCAGATTGCCTGCATCGTGCGCTTGAGCGTCGCTGTGCGTCAA